ATTTAATATACTTCTAATCGCTATTTCAGTCTTTCTATCTTTCTAATTACCTCTCTCTCTATTTTCTCTTCACTTAAAAAAAGTCACTGATGATGAAGAAATAAATAAACTAAATAAACTAATATTTGGTTTRGTTTTCTTCTGAAGTGACACAAAAAAAAGGTTCCTGTAATCTTTAGTGGTTTAGCGTTAGTGAAGGTAGCTTTTTAATTAGCTGCACCCACCACAGGGTTAGCGGTTGCCTCACAGACTCCTGGGTTCAAGTCCCGGTTTGAGCCTGTTTTAGTTGTTTCCCTGCTCTTCTGCAGGTGTAAATCAGAGAAAATTTAGATGTTTTTCTGCTTTAACACACCTGATTTGAATAAATAGATGTTTTAACAGGCTTCTGTATAACTTGGAGACCGGCRGAAGAGCAGAGYAACAACMAAAACCTGCAAGATGGTGCTCCTCCAGGATCAGGACCAGGACCACTGAATTAGCGCCTGCAGAGCTTTTAATGGACCAAACCTCTTTGACTTAATTTATTCAGTATTTCAGCATCTCTTTAATCCAAGCATCATCAGCAGGGACCTCATCAGACTCACAAATTAAACGTAGGAAACACGTTGATGTGATGAGAATATTTCCTTGTGTAGATGCAGGTTTTTTTTATTTTTTATCTTTTTGTTGCCGTTTGTTTGAGTCTTGACCCGTGGTCCAAGTGGACATTTTTTTCTGTTCCTGCTGGAGATAAACAAAGGCAGAAGGAGAATTGCTAATAATTGACTGCAGCATCTTTCATCTCTGGCTCTGGATCGTGGCACTTGTTCCATCTGCTGCCGCAGCCTTTTGTCTCTGCTTTCATCACGGAGGAGATGTGCCTCGAAATTAAAATACAAAGCGATGTTAATTCAGTTATCCAACCTTTAGATACGCATTTTAAATGTGGAGCAACTGAAAGTCATTTAGTTRGATTTAGTTTCATGCATTGAAATATATACGACAGTATTTCTCTCTCTCTCTTCAACAGGGGCCACCAAAGACATGGGCAAGATGCTTGGAGGAGAGGAGGAGAAGGACCCCGATGCTGCTAAGAAGGAGGAGGAGAGACAAGAAGCCCTGAGGCAACAGGAGGAGGAGAGGAAGGCCAAGTACGCAAGAATGGAGGCAGAGAGAGAAAACATCCGACAGGGCATCAGGGACAAGGTAAGAGGAGTCGTCGACAGACCCGCTCGTCTCTGTTTTCCCTCTTTTGTTTAAAACCATCAGGTTTAAAAGAACCGAGGCTGATGAGGGGAGCGGCTGCAGCTGTGGCCGGTGAAACAACTCAGTTTCACTCAGACYTCATAAATTAGCCCAATTATCTCAAAGTCCAGCAAGAAGAGCAAAACCTGTGAGGTCCGGTGTGATAAAATTATTTCACATGTTGGAATTTTCCCACGGATTTTTTTATTTTCTGTATCCCTCGTGGTTATAAAGGTGATAACACAGCCAGTGGCAAAATGATTTATTTGACTTAATTTATTCTCCTGCATGCCACGCTTCTGTTTGGTGTCTGTTATGGACTAATTATCTGTTTCACCTTGAAGCTGTCCAGTATTCATATATCTCATGATCAATGTTAATCTGTGTTTGCCCAGACGTCAGGACTCCGCAACGGACTGAACTCTCTTGTTTGATAAGAGACTCTTTGAGCTGAGAGCCCTGTGATTGGCTGGACAGTACATTAGTCAGATCTGTGATTGGTTATAATGGTTATTGGTTATGGGGCGGCTGTGGCGGAGTGGTTAGGTGAGTCGTCCTGGAAC